CGTGTCAAACAGTTAGGCTTCTACTTCTATTCGCCTTCTTTATTAATAATTTTATAGACCAGCAATCTTTTTGGATTAAATAGCCATTTTACAAATATTTTCTGTTTAGAAAAAGTGGCGATACATGAGGAGGATGAATTGTTCAATGTTTCACTATTGGAGACGGTTTCGTTTAGTGTGGTTTCAAATATATTTGAATGTTAATCTTAAATGAATAACATCATTATGTAATGTTACTTTAATAAGCTATAGTAAATTGGAATTGAAGTAAGAATATGAAATAATATTAATTATTGTGCATAGTAATTTTAGTTACTTCTTATTTTTTTAATTTTCTAATTAAATAAAAAAAATAAGCTATAATTCTTCACTCTAAATAGATTAACTTATAACAGAGTTCATGAATTATAACAAATTTAATTGCTTTATAAGGTTGTACTAAGCCTCCCCCTTTGCTGGCTAATAAATTCCTCAGACCACCTATCTTTGCATAATATATCTCTTATAAATTTACTCTTTTCCCACGCCTCCAATGTAATCATTCCCTTTAGGTGAATTTATCGCTTCCTTATTGCTTACGCCCTACTATTCTAGCTTCTGTTTTCACAAAAAACGAAGTGCTACTGGTATTTTTTCTGTTTATCTTACTTTATTTTTTCTTTTCGCTTTTCATACCCATGTCTTTCACGCGATCTTTCCTAATGTAGCGACGTCCGACTTAATTTCTATCATCCCCATTTTACACAACAATAATCCAGCTCGCACATAACTCACTATGGGAATAATAGTTGCAGGCAGCTTCTTACGTACACAAACTTATATAAAATTCGTTGGCAAGAAACCAGGGTCGTTGCATTAAAAGCTTAGCTGCACTTTTGATGTCACTAACGTTATACTGTTTTCGCAAATATTTTTACAAAGATTTGTTGCTTATTACACAAAAAATATGATTTTTGATTTATGAAAGAATAAACAATTATGAGAATTTTTATATATTTGCTATTATATTTCTCACAAAACAAATATCAGTAGTTATTTTACAATTTTTAATAAAAAATAATGTAACAGAAAATATTTTTATAACTTATGTGACTATTTATTTACATTTTGACTTTGAGGGCCCTGGTCTAAGATTTATTGAGGAGCCCGGAATAACACTTTTAGTTAGTTTTTTTTTTATTTTTTTACCGTCAAGAGCGGACAAAGCCCTAATTGTAGCCCTGATTGAAACAACCCGCCCGTTTAAATGTTTTATTTTTTTCTCATTTAAAAAGAATATATAATCTTTTAATTATTTACAAATTTTAATTAGTTCTAATTTGTACCAAAAGCCTATTTTTGCACCAATATGTAATTATATTTGTACAGACAAAATTATAAAATATCTGTGTAATCAGGAGAATATTCCATATTGAAACTTCATGTATGGTAATTAAAACATTGTCAATGTTCAGTGTAATTTATACGTTATCTCCGTTGATGAAATTCAATTGGTGGAATATAAATAGAAAACCATTGAATGTATCGCGTAGAAAATTCAATGCAGCAAAATTAATATAACTCAATAAGAGCAATCGTAAATACAAAAAAAAACAACGTTATTTGAATATGAAAGCTGAATCGCTGAATGTGTACATTTTTAATCACTGTTTTTTTATGTATTTATGAAAGTTATGCACATAATTCGGTCTGTAAAAGCTGTTCGAAAACTGATTTGTTTGAAAACCAAAAACAATTTTTCCATGAGTCTTTATAAATAAATCCTAGACGATATACCGAGGAATATTGAAAGTCTATAGGAATAACATCGATTAAATTATTGGGAGATGATTTATATACATTTTAAGTTCGAGAACTGAATTATTCAGTCGTTCTAGAATCAAATATTCGCTAATTTTTAAATAGAGAATGAAATGAAAAACTAATATAATAATAATAATTTATTGGCCAAACATCAATACATAAGAAAAAAAGTACATTCTATTCATAAATAAATTCTAACATAAAATTTAAAAAAATATATTAATAGGCTGGCCAAAGGGCTAACGATCAAGGTCTTTCCGCCCGGGAACATAAATTTAATTATGGAATAATACAATATTGTTACAATAAAAATATACAAATGAACAGCAGAAGTATGAGGAAAAAAGCAGCAGAGTAGGAACAAGTGTGTATCAATCGAGGGACATTAGGTATTGGAATAAGGATAATGTGGGATATTTAAATTTGGGTTTCGAGGGACACAGAATTTAGAGTTGGGACTGTTTGGATTTAAATTTCAAGGTATCGGTCGAGGAGAGGGACTATTTTGGTTTTGGAGTAAATGAGATCATTAGGAGGATTGTGTAGAGGATTATTAGGATATAGTATTTTGGTGTGGATACGAATGAAAAACTAATTTTCAAGAAACTAAAGATATTAAAGTAAATATTAAATGGAAGATCGTTGAACCTGTATATTATATTCTCGGACAATGCATTTTTATGTGCATTCTTTTTGTGTTGAAAAATTCTTGGATCAGATATGCATTAATTCATTGTCATGCTTTTTGATGTAGACTTTACATTTGCGTAATTAGAGTGATTGTACGTACGGTGAATTATAAAACACTCAAGTAAATCAAGTTCAATCCTGTACGTGATAAACACGTCCGTACACGACGACGTTGAAGCTCGGTAAACATCGGTGATTTATTTCTTTCGGGGAGCTTGATTATCCCCCTAACAACCGCCCAGAATGAAGTGCCAACATCAATTCCAAATTTATTACATATAATCATCGTGCTGCAATTTTCTACTAAAAAAATATATTTATACATAGTATAAATTACAGTTATATTTTATCATATCGCATATAAATTTATTACTTTTTTAACAAAGAAGTTAGTAAATATATGCTGTAATAAATATAATATTTTAGTTTATTGAACTATAAGAAATATAGAAAACAATTGAACATAAAGACTTCGGTCGATAGCCTTAGTTTTTCCTATACAATTATTATTAGAATACAACATTCACTAAAACTAGAAATTAAAAAAATCGATATAAGTAAATTCATACAATGTATTCACCAGTAGCGGGCGATGACTTTGAACTACGGGATGTTGTACAAAAAAATAACCTTTTATTTATTTATGTACATACTCAAAAGCTCAAGGAGTTTTTTTTACATTATATGAGATGTTACAAAAATATAGAACAAGTATAAAAATAGCAAAGTCAGGAACCAATAGTAGTAGTGAAACAGTTGTCAACTTAAGCCACGTGACTTAGAATACCATGACTAGACTAGAAGTACGCATGCACGAAGTAAGCGTATCTCGAATCCGAATACATGGTATATGTACATGATAATGTAAATATTGTCTATTTTGTATCTACAAAATTATATTTTTTATATAAGTTTAGAAAAAAAAATAATTTTCTTTATACAATAATTTTATTATTAAAAAATCTGCTAGAACGTAGCAAATTATATTTATAAATTAGAAGAAGAGACGAAAGATAGTTTTGTTGAGAAATAAAAAAAATTAACTAAATTTCTTATTTTTTATTCCAATTATAATCAATAGATATATTATCCAACAAAATCAAAACCATGACATTACACCACAAAATGATATCACCATTCCAATGGAAATATACCTGAATGGATTTTTTTCGAGATAGAAAATTAGTTTTAGTAATTTTACTACAAGAGATGGAAGACATATTTTTTGGTGCACGTATAAGGTTAACATGGATAAGGTTGTTATATTCCATGGGATTTACCGCTCGTGAACTGTCACATCTGCGACAATATTTAAATTATAAAGAGACATGAAACAGACCTAAATAGTTATTGATACTTAAATGTAATCTTTATATTGTATATAAAAATGATTTGTTTTACAATTACTTGTCATTTCTATTTTTTATGTTGTAACGAAAAGAAAGAATGTATAGAAGAATACCGTGAAATAAGTTTATTGGTACTAAATATATATATCAAAATTGATCCGTTTTTGTAATCTAAATCTCTATAATTCACTTACTATACGATTTAAGCTTAAAAAAGTCCGACTTTACTAAAAAGTACCACATATTTTTTTTATTGAAAATATTGTTGAAATTTAATAAAGATTTCTAACCAACCTAATTTTAATGTGTTATAAAAGAAATCCAAATAAATTTTATATTTCTTTAATTTTATCTATGTTCAGATTATTAATATAATGTTTATTATATATTTAGTTTTTTGTTTGTTTAATAAACAAATAAATACATAAAAATGGAAATATCGCAATTTTCAATAAATTATTTTCATATTTCTGTATGTTAAGTAGCTGCTGAGGCCGAGCGTATTGACGGTGTTATATAACATCCAATTTACGCGTAACAACGGGCGGTGTTGATTATTCGCCGTTGGCCGTTGATTAAACATTTTAATTATTAATTTACGCGTGGATTTGCGTAAATACACAATTAATTGCGAATCCGCAGAATCTGTGATTATCAAAACCCAGACCCTGCGGGGAGGCGCGCAGAACAACAGAAAACAAGAAACAAGGGAAGCATGTACAAACGAAATGGTGGAAAACGCTGCAAAACAGTACACAAATAAATAACCCATTCGAAAAACTTGGCACGCTTCCACTCGAGCGCCAACACAGAAAGAATAGAAAAGAAGAGGAACAAAAAAAAAGAGTAGAGAAAAGAAGAAAGTGGAAGAGAATAAAAATATGCACATCGGGTAATATGTGCGTATGTTTTTGAATAATAAAACGAAATGGTTAATGTTACGTAAAAAGGAATTTACTGTTCGCGTATTCCGCGGTAAAATGCTTCGCAGAGCGAAATATTAAAAGCGGGTCACTTTATTCGATTACTGCTCCATCCATGTTTTTCAACCCCGTTTTGTTTGCTTTTTTGTTCTTGTTTTTTTTTGGGAAACGTCTTTGTATTCAACGTTTACGCCTTCCTTTTCTTTGCGTGCGTTTGGTTGTAGTGAATAAGGAGATGGTGGTATCCTGGGGAGTAATTAAAGGCTCTGGTTACAAAGAAACTTTGCTCGTAAATAAAATAAAAAAGTCGGGGACGAGGCTCAAGTACGTACACACACGAATGTATATACACGCTTTTAATATTTTAATGTGGTCGGTAAATTCATTTTTTAATTAACATTTGTTCATGGAGATTAGGTCCCGAGGATTAAGCCTAATGGCATCGGACTAATCAATTTTTTACTGAATTTTAATTTTAATTATAATGGAAAACTTGCTACTCCTGAATAATATTCTTATTTCAGGAATAACTTTCCCTTGTAAATCATTCAAATTTTAATTTGACTTCAATTAGAAAAAAATTGGTAACAATTGGTAATAAAATATATGTTCATTGAAAATTAATTAAAATTTAAAACAATGAAATTTTACGCGGTAAAACTTTGGTCGATAAACATTTCTATCAAGAAAAAAAAAACAATATTTTTTTACTAATAGTAAAATTAAATATACTGTTAAATAATTTTGAAACTGGACTAATCGAGGACTTTAAAATCGCTTAAACATTTTTTGCTTAAAATATTTTGAGATTTTATTTTGTCACTCACTTAAAATTTAGTTTGTCCTGAAATTGTCATAGTTCACTATAGTTCGCTAGTGAAGCTGGACTGATAGATGCCGAATATTATTACAAAATTAATTTAAATAAATGCAGATTTTTTTTCTGATTATACATCTGTACAGAATTTATACTTAAAAAATTATAAGTATTTATTTATATTGATTTAATTCAAACGAGAAAAGAGAAAAAATGCCATTTTTTGATAAATTCAAAGATATAAAGAAATAGATTATTTTGTGTTCTAGAATCTAGATAAACAAAATTATTTATTTCCAAAAATATATCATTAAAACTTAACAGTTTTATGTAGGAATGTATGATTATTGAATATATTTTAATATTAAACTTTATATATAAAGTTTAATATTAAAATAAATATAAAAATAACATATAAAACATCTATTTTTTTAATTTAAAAAACATTCAATAAATCATTGTCAAATTCAATGATGTGTCTATTATTAATATTGATAAATAGTAGTAATATTTATTGTTTAAATCAAAAAGAAAATAAATATACATATTTAACATATGTATGAATATTTGAATGATTTAATAAACACAAAAATTTAAAATATAAAATTAGATATACTTTTTAATTATAATCTAATTTGATTTATTGTATTTATTATTATATCATATTAGTTAATAAATGATACTTTAATAATAATTTTAATAAAATATTTGATAAATTAATCAACTTTCATAATAATTTAAAGATCATTTAATTTTTGTACTTTTTACTTTTGTTTTATTTTGTTTTATTAAAAGTCTGCAATATATCGATTCCAAAAATATTTTGACTACTTCAATTGAATTGATATGCATTTTGGTGCTCCAATTTTAGTCGTTTAATTAAACCATCAACAATTTGTGCTATTTGCTTTTCATGTTTTTTTTTTTCATTTCATTTCATTTCATCATATTATTTTGATCTGGTCCTGTAGTGAGCTGATCTAGGCTTTTGGTAAATTTTATTATAAATATAGGTTTTTTCGCAAAATTGTTTCATTCTTGTAATTACGAACATAAGTAAAATACAAATTACAATTTCATTTGTCTAGGTTTTTACACTGTGAGTCATATATTTTTATGAATAAAAACTTTGTAATGAAGGTTTACATTAATTAGCATACAAAAAAATCACTATAATAACATTGAAGACAAATCTCATAATAATTTAAAAATGTAACTAAATTAACAAATATATAATCCAGCAAAAAATAAAGAAAATAACAGGAGACCAAAAATATACATTTTACTGAATAAAATATATTTCACTGAACTCTACATTTTTTTTTAATAATAATAACAATATTTACTATTCATATACCAAAAATAAATGCAAAAATTTATTGACAGAATTGTATATTTATTCACCAAATTATTTTATTCAATGCAAATATTTGCAACGTTCATGGCTAGAAATATTTACCTGTTCCATGTAATTGCGGGCTTAATATGGTTTTGTTATAATTGACGGTATTGGGTATTTACTTTAAAAAAAATGTGTAAATTTCATTCGAATATTTTATTTTCGTGAAAATGCACTAGCCGGAATTATTAGGATATGATTGAAACGGATATTGGATACGTATTTCCAGTACACAATAATAAAATTCAGTTACAAAAAAAAAAATACTGCAAATCCCGAATTGGCATGACCAAAACTTGTTAACTAAAATAATGGTTTTGTTTTCCGCTTTTTAAAGTAAGCAAATTACATATAATGTTCAATCATGGACATGATTTGCTTTAGTTCATCTATTTGCTGAAAAATATCAATTGGCTTGAATAATAAAAAAATAATTTATGTTATAAATATTTAATCTTTCCTTTATTGCTAAAAAATGTATTGAAAAGAAAAGAAAAATTCACATAGTGGGGTTACAATCAGTGCGGAATCACTATAGTACGGTTTGAACATTTCAAAAGTAGCTAAATGAAATTATTACATGAAATTATTTTTTATACAATAAAATTCTCGATTCTCAGTTTCTCAGTTTCACACAATGCGCCTACACGCACTATGTGATTTAATACTGTAGCTAACAAAAAAATAAAACGGATGAGTCATCCCTGCAAGTATCAGCTTTATAATTATATAGGAATCATTTTATTGTGCTATAATTTTTAAATATAGTGATTCAAGTGAAAGCCTACTAGTAGAAGGTAAATTATATGAACGTTTACGTATTCATTGGTGAAGGAAATTATATGACCAATTATATAAGGGGGAAACTGTTTCAGCTGCGAGGAAATAACAATTAACTTTAATGCTTCCTTTTCATCGTCACTAATTAAGAATACACATTAAAAATATATATTAACTGTATAATGTAGAAGAGTTATTAGTATTGTATTTTAACTACAGAGGTACCTCGCATAGTGCGGGTTCAGCTAATATCGCGAACTGTTTGATACCGAACTAATTGAGGATCTAAATAAAATGTAAATAAACACAAAGACTTGATTGTATCCCTTTATAAAGACAAGTTTCTTTGTGGCTTTTAGTAGTGACAATATTTTTTGGAGTACACTGAATCCGGTCTTATCTAAGTCATACTATGTGAGGTATTGCTGTTTAAGAAAATATATTATTTCATTAGTTTTAATTCATAATAATCCATTTGTTGTAAGAATATTTGATTTTGTGATTAATGTCCTTCTAGTTATATTTCTGATGCTATCATTAATAATGGGAAAATATTAATTAAAAAAAAAGTATGATGAAATAGGATGTGTCTATTTGATATTATTATGATGTATCTGCATTCAATTTGTGTTGATTGTATGGTATGTGTGAATTTAATTAAGATAATGTGTTTGATTGGTTATAGGTGGCCTGGCTGAGAGTGGACACGCAAACCATCCTGACCATACATAGTCATGTGATAACCAAGAATCATCGAATCGCAGTGACGCACAGCGAACACAGGACTTGGTATTTGCACATCAAGGATGTCAGGGAATCGGATCGGGGTTATTACATGTGTCAAATTAACACGGACCCCATGAAGAGTCAAGTCGGCTATTTGGACGTGGTTGGTGAGTGATGGGATAATGAGATGGGGATTCTCCCTCCCCCCATGTAGAAATTGTTTAGTATTTACCGCCGACGTCAGCCGCAACACAGAAACAATGAGATAAGATAAATCACGGGGGGTTAGCGTGTTCATGGGGGTGGCGGCCGTTTCTTTCATTCAAAGTTTGCACAAAACCGGGGATAAAAATGCGCGAAGGGTGAGTTGATAAAGCGCCGACGGCCCTTCCGCCCGCCTCGTTCTGCGCCTCCCCTACACCGAACCCCAGGAAAAGGGCAAAAACGCGTCTTTCACACCCAACAAAAATTATCTCCGCGACATTTACCTGAAGACATAAAGACCGACAGAATTGGCGCAGATAAGGGATTCTCTTTTCTTTCGCACTGTTCTCCTCTATTACCATCACCGATGATATCCAGCATATTTTTTATTTTCTTTATTATTATTTTCTTAATTACTCGGAAATAAAAGAAACAACTTACAATTAACATTACTTCAAATTCAAGATCAGAAAATGCGGATATGACGCCAAAGAGAGACGCAATCTAGTTTTATTATATTTTATAAAGAGCCATACGTATGCACAAATTCAATTTTTATTATTTAATATAATTGTGTATTTTCACAAGTCACATATTGAAGAACATAAATAAAATCATTAAACATAATAAAAAGTATAATAGTAGCTAACCACAATCTATGGTCAGTTTTTAAAAATTTGGCGTAAATTAGAAAAAAATAAATCTAAAATTTGAATGAGACCCGCAAAGAGCCGCATTTGCCCAACGTTGATATATACAAACAGTGTGTAGCAAACCGCAAAAATTTAAAAATATAAATCAGAAAATTTTGTTCATTTAACGTTCTTGGAATTTTTAATTAATTTGCCACGAAACAAATTATTCGCATCCAGTGTGTCGTGACGTGTTAGTTAGGCATGCACAGGACTAGATTGAATGCATCTTTTTTGATTATATAAGTACATCATATTCTTATTTGTTTCAAAAGAAAATAAATTTTAATTGATCAAAATAAAAATATATTCAAAAAAATTACCACACGTATTTTTTTTAATGTAAATGATTATTTTCGAATAGTGCGGTTTCAAACAGTCCCGTATATTGACGCAACCGATTACCCGGACAATGCTAGGTAGTACTGTATATAGTAATATAATTGTAATAACTCTACTATTCATACTATTGTATTTACAATTTAAAGGAAACTTTAAAGTTTTTGTTAATGCCGTTTCGATCAGTTGGCGGAACCAAGTTCCCGAACTATATGAAGTATTGTATTTTTAATTCACACTTTTTTATTTATAATTTATACAGTTTCAAGTAAATATAATAATTGTTACTATGACATTAATACTTTATTAACTTTTGCGATATAAATTGGAATGTATATAAATAAAATATAATTTATGTAAAAATTATTATTACTATTGATTTTATTGATACCTGAAAAATAAAATTACACCAATTTTTTTCTCATGTTGATAGATTTACGTATACAAAATTGAATATAATTTTAATAAACTTTTGATTATTATATCAACATGAGATGAAATTCAATCGGCTCGCTCACAGGCGCAAATTATTAAAACTAAGCGAACTTCATTACTTTCTATATTGAGACACATGATATATGTTAAAGATTAAAATCAAAGAGTCGAACTGAAATTAATTTCGTTTTGGTTACGTTCCAAGTAAACGTTTTTCGTTCCTGTTGCTATTTCGATTCGGTTCGGTTCCGGTTCAGTTTCTGTTAAAAATAATTAAACCAAAATTAACCGTTATTAAAATTTCGGTCTACTTAAAGTCTAACATCTAAATTTAATAATCAATAATATGTTTTCGTTTGACACCGAATCGTTTAGCGCTTGTCGTCTAGTAATGAATCCTAACTTATAAACGAAGTCTTAATGTATGTATGATAAATTACTAATTGAATCATAATTTTGGAATTATTGATTTCTGACATATTTGGATAACTTTAATTATTGATTATATTTTTAAATATAATGAACTAAATCCGTATATGTATATAGAATATACATCAGAATGTTTAGAGATATATGAATATGTACTATAGACACAAATTTTCAATTCAATAAAGGATTGTAAGAAATATAATTAAGTTAATTATTCTTCGTTAGAGTAAAGTAACATAATTATGATGATAAAAGCAATATAGTAAATTGTTATTTTAAAATTGCAAAGATTCCATGCGTATATGATAATTATTATTTTGTTTTCTCTAAATTATTTTGTTTATGTTTACAGAATAATTAGATCTAATCGAAATAACCTAACTCTATTGTTTCTATAATATTGGACACTTTATAATGTTCGTACAATATAATCGAACGATTGTAGAAATTACACGTCAGTTTGAAAGTTTGTCGCACAGCATAACGTAGACATTTAAAAATAATATTAAAGCTCCCGGATTTAATTAATAGTTTAATAACTAATCAACGCGGAGACTAATTATACACTAAAACTATTGTTTGAAGCTTACGAATATTCATATACACACGTATATACCGGAGTCAGTAAACACAAAACGCATTGCGTTAAACCGAATTTAGATTTATTATTATTATTTCGTTACAATAATCCATTGAAAATTTACGTTATGAAATTCCACAGTATTATAGTTTTGGCAACCGTTCCGATTAATGCATTATTGATCGCAAACCTGAAAACATGCCAACAGGTTATTTTTCACTCTATAATTTCATTATTTATCAATAAAATTTAAATGCATTAGACGTTCTTCAAATTGAAAACTTTTAATGTAATTTGAGAGTTTTGATAAGGTTTATATTGTTTTATTATTGAATGTAAATGGGAGTACGTGAGTATAATAAAATAAAGACAATATGTGAATGGAATATTCCAGTCGTTATTCGATGATACGTCGGAAAATAAACTGGAGATCAGCTTCTCGAAATAACGCATGTTAGTACGATTTTCACGTTTAAGAATAACAATGATAGTAAAAAGGAAATGGCAATGGTAGGAGCTGTGTAAATATGGGATTTACGACGAAATCAATGAAATATTACAAAGATTGCTTCCATTACTACATGTTTTATTCAATGTATTGTCTGTATCGAAAGTTAACTTTTCGTATTATCGCAGTTAAATCACCTAATTGTGTCCACGAAAGAAAATATATGACAATACCTCTCTAAAGTCCGGTTTGAAAATTTTAAAAGAAACTAAATTTAATTGAGCAAAATAAAAATTAACTTCTAATAAATTAATAAAGCAAAGCGGTCAATAGCACTTTGAATGTATGTATCCAATAAATTATATTTATTATTAGTAGTACACACAATATATTTTGTATATATAAATGATGGTTTAATTCGCATTATACAGTCAAATTTCTTTTTGTGTAGTTTACATTTATATATATTTAGTTCTTTGTTTAGTTTGAGATATTGACAATAGTTATCCGTACTATACGAGATATTGCTGTATTTATTTTAAATTCTAATCATTTTTGGAATTCCTATTGCAATCAATTCCTATTTTTTTTAAAATGAAAGAAAATAATTATATTATAAAATGATAAACTAAGTGTATGAAAAAGAAAATGGAATTTCATTTATTGTTGATGCTAATTAATTTATAATTTACCTTTACATTGATGACAGACATTTCTCTGTTTTTCTTTTCTCGAAGAATCTATACTTGTTTTGTATGCACTCATTTAGGACTATCAAGTGTAGTAATGACGTCTGGTTTAGTTATTTTATTTGCAACAATGCATTTGACATTCTAATTATTACTTATAAATAAATGCGTTATAAAATTGATTTAGTGATCAAAAGTTCCATATATTTAGATCGATAGAAAGTACACAAAATGTCAGTTATAATTTAAAAATCTATAATTATATTTAGATGCGCAAGTATATAAATTATGTAGAATGACAAGTATAATACGCATAATATGTAAGGTGCGTATCATCGACATAGGCGGGCTAAGATGTGATTTATTTTTTTATGCTTAAGATTGTTTTGTGATATGATTGCCTTTTTTATTAAAAGATTAAGTTTTAAAAATATATCTAAAATAATGTATTCAAAGGTGGATGTAAACACTGCGGTCAATGTCTCTGAATGTATGTACAATATTATGTTAATAATTAACTTGACAATTGATGGTTGCGTATTATATACGAATTTAAATTTTATCCGAACCTTATGAGCAAAATCAATGACATAATCAAGTTCCTTAAAAATCGGTACAAAGTGAAAGAAAAAAATGAAGCTAAATCAGTTTTCATGATCAAGTGATATATATGTTGATTACTCTTGTTTTATTTGATGTATTAAGTATTACTGTGTATTAAGATGCTACATGTAACAAAAATGTATCCAACCATAAAACTGCAATTGTTGTACATGCTCAAATTGATTGAACCGTGATCATGGTTCCAAGTGCGTAATTAGTTAATTTTATATGATGGAAAGTAGTTGGAACAGAAATTTTGAGGCGCATCTAATTCGTCGGAATAATGTTTGCAAGTACTTCCGGGAAAGGGTGAAGAAGAGAGAGAGATAGAGAAAGCGAAGAGGGATGAAAAGGAAGGGGAGTAGGTCTCGGGTAGAGATACATCTTAAAGTGCATAGTTTCGGAGCGGGATAATTGGGCCACCCCCTTCGCCCCGCCGCGCTTAAATATTTAATTAATAAACAGAAAATTCAACGTGCCGAGGCGTTTTCCTCCCACGGCAACGGCAAGTATGCAAAACATTAGTAATTTTCCGCCGTTCCGCGTGCCGCTTTCCCTCTCACCCTCCCTTCCATACCTACAGAGCTTACCTACAGAAACTTAATTAATACGTACTCGGCAATTAAACGAGGCCGACAACAAAATTCTAATCAGGAGCTGCGCTGTGCGAATTTGTTACAACTACCCGCCACTATAGGAGGCGTACAAAAATGTAATGAAACATGTTTTTCAGCAAAATTTACATTCG